CTTAACATTTATTTATGCATTTTTTTTTATCTCTCCAGTTTTAAAGGATATTTTTGGTTACTGTCTTATACATTGGAATGATTTGAAACCTGTTTATCCCAATAATTATAAAGGAGTGCCTTGGAAATATGTGTTTACATAAATTGTGACCAAACCGTTTGAACTTAGACTAAGAGTCCTTTACCTCACTGAGCTGTAGTTAACTTATCAGCCTCTCAGTCTGACTGGAGAGGACTCTCCCTCCACATTATTGTAGAAACATCTTCTTCTTATATCCGTTAGAGCAGCTAGCACGGCACCAGATTCTAATAACAACAGCGCTGGTATCGGTGCACCCTCCCTCTCTCCCTCGCATTTTGGCTGTGAGCTGCGGGCGCCAGATAAGCCAACATCCCCCATTTTCATCACTTACAGCGTCCATCGTACAGGGCAAATGAAACGTGTAACCGGGGTGAAAAGGGTGTTACATTTACTTAATTATGAATATTGTTACATCAAGGCCGAAAATTAGGATGAGCCCCAACGGTCAAAATGTTTTTTTCCCTCCCAGAACTGCCAGCGCAGCACCTCCCCCAGATCTGGCGCCCTAGGCGAAGTTCATATCATGGTTCATATGCAACTCGCAAATATCTTTCTTTCTCTCTCTTCTCTTATCTCTCTCTCTTCTCTCTCCCTCTCTCCCTCTCTCAATGTTGGTACGCAAATGCGCTTTGTTTCAAATGAACCGGTGCTCTTTTTTTGGCGGAGGTGCGCATGCGCACCTGCGCACCAGTTATGTGCAGCCCTGTTTATAGGCTATATGGGCCATTCTACCGAATTGGACCAAAGTCAGGTTGGAAATGTTTTGAAATGTTGTATGTTTTTCTCCCAAAACGTTTTCCATATATATGTTGTACCATATCTAAATTACACATATCTAGTAAAAGAACCGTACATTTTTATATCGTATTTTCAGACTGTATTGGAATGTTTTTCCTCTACCAAAAATGGTCACTACCGAAACATAGTAGGCTACATACTGTACACTGTAAAAAAAAGTATTATATTAACCTGTTAAGATTGTTTTACCTTCCCTTCTCTAAATAGTATTTTAACAAATATTTCTTGAGGGTTTTCACAATTCAATTAATATAAGTGAATTTGTAATCAAATTTCAAAGTTCAATTTATACAATTCATAAAAATCATAATGCAAACTTTCTTTGTAAAATGCATAATACTGATCATATTGATTCCAGAGTTGATGACTGTTGAAATTGAACATACATTAAACCAATCAGTATCATATCATTTTAGTTGATAACTCAATATACTTCATTTTTTACAAAACATCCAGTGTTTCGGTGACCACAGTATTTTGTTCTCAAGGTTGTATCATATTCCCTCAACCTTATTGCTTAATCATTGCTCATAACATGCCTTATGTTGAAGTGTGAATGTTTTAAGCTACTGACCCAGAATCAGCACTTTAGAAACAGGCTGAAATAGAGGGGAATGAGGCTAGAATGGGTGATCTGTTTGGTATTTTGAGCAAAACACTTCATAGACATGTTTTTTATATATCTGAGACCTATAATATATGCCGAACAATAGTATAATAAGAGACCTTTAAAGTAACACACTGATTTTCAGACTTTAAAACACATTTATTTCAAAACTAGAGTGATGATTCTAGCTAAAATTGAGCATAACTAAAGAATGCTAGCAAGTACATGGCTAGCATCCACGTTTTTGAAGAGGTTTACACACATAATGCTTTGCATAAAACCCCGAAAAAGTGTACTTAATTGAAGATAATGTGTTCGGTAGTGACAACTGTTAGAAATCAAAATCAATGTTTTGATAGCATAATGTACCTTAAACATACCTTCAGTTTAAATGCTGTTTTATACTGAAAAACCAGAAGTTCTTGTGCACAACCAGTTGTTAAGCTTTATTCTGAAAATCCGTCATCTCCGGTTAGCATTTAGCATGAGGCTAATATACCATTTACTATAGAGGTACATTTAGCAGCGAGATGATATGATTTTGCACACCGAAACCTACTGATTTCAACACTACAACTATAGAAGTCGAGATATTATTATTGTTGAATATTAAATTAAGGTACAGTTTATTTGAGTACGTTATTGTTTACAGATGTGGGTAGCATGCGACAACATTCGGAACAACCGGAAACCAAACTGCTGTGACGTATTTCCTGTATTTTTGAAGTATTGATTACAGCGTTTAGAATGTGTTAAATAAAAAGTCATGAAAGAGTTAAGGAGGAGAAAAGGCGTGTTTAGATATATATTGAATGTACAATGTCTGTATCCTCTGATATGCATAACAAACGGACATTGAAAAGTGGAGAGCCGGCCCGCAGGGAGGAGCCAGCAGAGGATATATAAACAGCGAGACCTGAGGGGATCGGCCTCTTTTTCTGCTAGCGAGAGCCAGAGACAGCTGCTTTTCTGTCGAACAATATCCTGTTTGTGACTTTACCACGCTTTTTATTAATTAAAGTACCAATTTTGAAACAATCTCAGAGACTCCATTTAGTCTCCTTTTTAAGCTTCTCTTTCCTGGACGCGAGAATAACCAACACAGTTAACACAATTCTTAAGGTTACACGCCGATTTTCAGATTTTGGAACAGATTTTTATCAAAATTATGGGATATAGCTGTAAGAGAATATTTTAATCTGATCTGTTTATAGAGCTTCTTATTGTTTTATAGAATCTGTGATACTGCAAACATCTGCTTGTAGTCAGTCAAAGACTCCTGTGTAAGTTGAGGTCACAGGTCAAACGCTTCTCCCATATCCTGTGGGGGGAAGGTTTCAGGCTATCTGCATCTCTTGAGACAAGTAGTTCATTGTCTCTCATCGGCTATTGATTAGGTAAACGTGGGCTTTCTGTGAGCCCGCCCTTCCTCATGTTGATGGGTGTTGGGTCTATTCTGGGGCAGAAATGATCTTGGTGGACCACGGGACGGTGGGAAACTAAGATGATCTCCCGGCCGTATGTAATTAATGTACTGTGATCAATAAACTCTTAGTGCTTTGGCTAATCGACGTTCCAGACTCCTTCATTCTACCTCAACATTGCAACAACAGAAGTTTACCTTCACAATAGCTACTTGCCATTCAGCAATGAGGGACAGGGATGCAGTGTCACTGTCTACCAGGATCAGCCATTGGACTAAAACCCCTTGTGTTTCAGTATAGTGACATGAAAACTGGGGACATGGTTTTTTGAGTAGTCTTATATTAAAAAATGATACCCACAATACATCTAAATATTCCAACTTCTGTTTGAATGTAATCATAAAGATCTTCTAAATACACCAATGAAAAAAGTAAAAAAAAGTTTTAAGTGTTATTTACAGAGATTGAAATTTAGATGTCAGGGTTGGGGACAGAGCTGATTGATTGATTGATTGAAAAGTTTATTAACAGCTTGTATATTGGGTACAGTACAGTACAGCTCAAAACATACAATTGTTAAGGGGATGCAGACCAGAGAAAGACTTTCGTCTTGTTTACATCAGGGTCCCCCATTTCCAATTCATCATGTCATTTAAGACATATTTGACATACAGATGGCTTATTTACAATTTACATACAGGTGGTTTTTTTACATACAGATTGCTTATTTACAATTTTCATTTTAGATTTCGTTCTAATACATCCTAACCGGACATTTAAGACATACCAAGTCTACAGATATACAGTTAGTAACAGAGTCTAAAATGTGAGTATATACATAGAAGAGCTCTACTTCCCAATAGAAAGTACCCTATAAATGATGTTTTTGTATATATTAAGCATATCACTATCTAATGTAATTGTGTTTAAATAGACCATAACATATTCTTAGTAAATATCTATGTCTGAATACTTAATTGTTTTGTTAAATAGTTTTTCTTGTTGTGGGACCGCACTTTAATTCGGTAGAATGCCCCATATAGGCCTACAGTCTGTGTCAATGACAACCTTAACGTCGAGTATACGCTAGCATTAGCACTCCCACTTTCACAATATGTTTTTAGCCAAAAACACTCGCCGTTCATATGTTTATAGCCTATCACATACTAGCTTAACTTGTAACTGCTATTTCTACCACGTTACCTGAAAGCACCATACTCCTCATGAGGGCGCCATTTTGGCTCTACAGTTTCTCACTTCATGCAGTTCCTCCGTTTAGTCATGTGCGTGTCAAATCGAGCGTCGCATGATGTTTGCAATTATTAACATAAGTGAACCACCACCAGGGTATGTGTAGTCAAGTAGAATCCAACTTTAATGTTAAAAATGTATTACCACTTCCGTATGCTATCAACAGTTGTCAGCAGTTAAATTGTTTTCAACAGGTAAGTCGAAGTTTTACTAAAACGTAAGGTGTTACAGCAGTAATGAAAGCAGTCAACAGTTTGTCAGGGAGACAAAGGTAGTACATATTATAATGATTAAATTGAATTAATGTAAGCTAATTCAACCTAAATGTTAAACTTCAGACTACAGAAAAGGTACATTTTCAAAGTGAGTGAGTTATGGTAGCCTATGTAAAACTCTAAAGCTACCTTTGGGACACACACACACACACACACACACACACACACACACACACACACACACACACACACACACACACACACACACACACACACACACACACACACACACACACACGTAGCCTCGATCAAGCAGTAGCCTACAATGCATTCACACTCACTGCAACATTATCATAATATCCCTTTTGAGGAGAGCACAACATGTAAAATACATAGGCTAAAGATAGGTTACAGATATTGGTAATCGTGCGCACCCACACACACGGACACACGCGTGTGCTCGCTCCTCCACCCCCCCCTCTCTCTCTCTCTCTCTCTCTCTCTCTCTCTCTCTCTCTCTCTCTCTCTCTCTCTCTCTCTCTCTCTCTCTCTCTCTCTCTCTCTCTCTCTCTTTCTCTTTTCTCTTTATCTCTCTCGTGTTTCACCATCAACACTCAACAGCAGGCTTGCAAGTAACACACGCGCACACACACGCACACACATATTTCTGCATCCTGTATTTTTGTATTCACCGGGAACCGAGCGCTTTATAAGCGGTCGTGGATTATGATGCTATTTTTTATAGCAGCGGAATATTGGCCTCTCTTTCGGCTTCAACTGTGAACAGCACTATATCGCGTTATTTTTTATTTTTCAGATTTATTTATAATTTGGTTCTCCGTTACTTCTGAGGCACCGAGGGACCATCCGAGACGGCAAAGCCTACGTTCAATGCGTTGGAACATGTCCTATGTTCCCTTTCAAGGTAAGACAGAGCATATTTTATATATTTTTTGTCATCCCACTGCATTTTCCTATTCTGTTCCTCCTCCCCCGTTTCTCTCCATTCCTCCTCTCTCTCCTCTCTCTCTCTCTCTCTCTCTCTCTCTCTCTCTCCTCTCCTCTCTCTCTCTATCTCTCTCTCTCTCTCTTTTCATTTCATCTCCTTTTCTCTCTCTCTGTTCCTCTCTTATTCCTGTGTCTCTATGGCACTATCATATGCAATAGGCATATCTAAAAGCACCGTATGCCGACAGGCGTGCATATAAATAGCCCAGAGATGCCCACACACTGACACAAACACACGCACGCACGCGCACGCACACACACACACACAGGGATCCGGCGGCAACGTGTGTCCGATTGGACCAGGGCATGCGGCACAATTATGGTATTGTAATAAGGTATGCATGTGTGCTGGTGTCACGGTCTATTCTTCAAATGATTCATCCATGTTATTGCAGCTGAGAGTTGATGGTTTGAAAAAAATGCTGTAATATTCCTTGACATACTCCCATAATAATCCTCTGGTCTTATTGGGTTCATGGTACTCATAAGGAGTTTATAGGCACACGTTAATATTTGTCTATTGTGGTATTATTATTAAGTAATATGCTGCCCTTATCACTCTTAATGTTTTTTTTTTTTAATGTTTGGTGTAAAATGCTAGTAATATTCTAGGTAGGCACTGTCAGTGTAAGGAGATTAGAACATGTAATACTAAACCATCTCTTATGAAATACTGCTAGTTCTGTAGTATCTTGTAAAAATATATCGGTGGTTTTGTCAATAGCCTGAATGGACTGTATCCTGCCTCCTGTGTGCAAAAACTTTGGCCCACTAAATAATTAGATGACCAGAATGAGAGGCTACTTCATTCTTGCTGGTCTTTTATTCCCCCGTACTCGAGTGTGAGTGGGTGAAAGGCGCTTCAGTGTACGGTAAAGGCAGATTCCCCTTGGTATCATTGCACTGCAACTGTGACTAATGCTATATGTGAGCAGGCGTGCTGCAGTGAGCTGCCTCAAATCTAGCCAGTCAAAACGCTCAATTTGCAGTGTGTGTGTGTGTGTGTGTGTGTGTGTGTGCTCAGAGGGGCTAATTTGAAAAAAGCGAGGTCTTCAAACGTGATGGCCAGAGGGAGACGGGGATGAGATTGAACGCCCAGCGCAAAGTTTGGAGGAACCGTGAAGGATTGGGGGTGTCGAGTGAGTACCTGTTATCAAAAAGATGTCAAAAACTGTAGGGACGAGGAGGAGGAGGAGGAACTTGATATACGTGTGTGTGTGTGTTTGACTGAGAGAATATGAGCGGTGTGAAGTCACGGAGAGAGTGCTGCATGTGACTGTCAGGGTAACACTCACAGACCTGTAACCCCTTGTAGAACAATATGGGTGCCACCAAAATGGAGACTAATCTCGACCTAAAAAAACTCTACTCTCCTGGACTCCACTGTCTTCTCATGTGCAGCTCAGATGATGACTCCAGGGTTGGAGTCATCATCTGAGCTGCACATGAGAAGAGAGTGAGCACATTTTCCTGCAGATCCTTTTAACTCAGATTTTTATATTCGCTCAGAGCGAAGCAGATAATGGCCAAAATTCCCTCTTGTGCAAGTGCAGCTATAGAAGTTGGTTGCATAATGTTGGTGAGATGCTCTGCCTGTGTTGGTGTGTGTGTGTGTGTGTGTGTGTGTGTGTGTGTGTGTGTGTGTGTGTGTGATTGTGTGTGTGCAAGCCCAATCTGGGAGTCATTGCCAGGAAATTGTGAGCACAGTGCTGCACCTTCAAAACCTGCCAGCGATGGCACTGAGTTCTCTTTCTCTGTGTGTTTCACTGCTATTTCATTTTAGACATTGTTGTCGGAGCTAAGCATTATTTAGTCAGATTCAATTTCGTAAAACTGAGGATTTATGCATTAACTGGATTACAAGGCATATCAATATGAGCAGGTTCTATGGTTTTACCTTCATAAATGCATCAGTAGTATACATACTGTACCATTAGTAGAAACGACACCTGTGAACTTATTCATTTGTATCATTGTATATTGTAAAGTCAAAAAGTGAACATAAATGTCCCCTTAAATGGTTTTAAAGAAAAATGGTAAGTTTCTTACTTTTACATCTATCAGTGAATATCTTTTGGCTTTTGAACTTTTAATTGAGCAAGATAATCCATTTAAAGACAACACCTTGGTTTTTGGAATTGTAATAGCATTAACCATAAATCATCATTTGTGAAAGTAGTTGGCAGTTGCAGCCTTATGTATTTTGGCCAACCAACTGATTACACTATTCATCTCCCCGGTCCACCTATACATTACAAGCTCCATGGTTACTCAAAGCGATTATGTAACACAGTGTGATATTTATGCCGCACAGTGACTCAACATCTACAGATAACATATATGGTAAGTCAGCTGATATTACTGTGACATTGATTTGTGATGAGGTACACATGATGGGTGAGGGGGGGGGTAAAGGACCCTCAGCGATCTTGCAGATGTGTTTGAGCCCACATTGACGAGTGTCTTAAGCTAATGTAGCAGGCAAGCCATTTGCAGTCATGCCAAGTACCGGCTCACATGAACAGGCAGTTAGTGGGAGGCAGCAGCAGCAGCAGCAGCAGCAGCAGAGATGGGCCTTCCTATCTTGGCTAAATCTTTTTCCTCCCTCATTCGCTCTCTTAAACTCACACCTCCTTTTAGTCTATCTCTTTTTTCTTTTCTCTCTCTCTCCTGCACTGTCGACCCCCCCCCTTGCTGAACCACCCACACACACACTACACACACGCATGCTCTTCTACCCCCTCACTGCCTCTTCAATCGCTCCCTCTTTTCCCTTCACTACAATGGCTGTATCCATGAGTGCAGATGGACACTATGGAAGCAAGCTGCCAGCCGCTGAGCTATCCCTGGCCTTGTCGATTTTACAGTAGTTTGATACAGCAGCTCCTGTCAGGCATGGCCATAGTTAAAGAGACAGCACACCACCAATGCACTGCAGCACTCCTCTACTCCCTCCTTCTCGTTCCCTCTCTTTCTCCTTCTCTCATGTGACATAAGGGACTGTCTTACACCCCTCCACTACTCAGGCTGTGCCAAGAACCATCATCTGTTAGGCTATTACTGTACTGCAAGCATGAGATTCATCTAGCCCTGTGCACTACAGTAGATGATCTGTCAAGAGAGAGAGAGAGCCCATTCATTCTCCAGTGGGGTGCTGAGTGTACTGGAGATGCGTTTGCGGTGGCTTTTTAGAGTGTTCTGGAGCAGGCAGCAGAGACGACCATTGATGAGCATTTGGGAGAAGTGATTTGCTTTTAATCACACATGCATAGGCTGAATTCTCCAGCCGGAGAGTTTCCCGACTGGTGTTGACAGATCTTTAGTGATCCAACATGAATCAAAGAACCCCCTGTCCAAGTTCATGGACGATTTACATTTGCCGGGCGATTCCCCTCTAGATGTGGGAAGTCAGCACTTTTAAATGTCAAACAAGACTGTGCATTCAGCTTTTCAAGAATCCCTAAAGCGTTCTGGTCAAAGACGTGCAATGATGTCAAGATATTGAGGAAATGTAACTCCACTGCCATTATTCTGCAGATCGGGGGTCAAAACACGTTCAACAGGCTGACAACTTAATGCGCTCACACAGTATTTTATATTTTCATCAGCTTGTTCAAGGATCTAATAAATATGCACACAGGGTCGCTTCTTCAAAGGCATATTATGGAGCAGCTATTTCAAGGTCTTTGATACCCTGGAGGTCAAAGCTAACCTTGGCAGCATTCAATATGTCTGTATTACACCAGGGACTGGGACCATGTTGACCCATTGATCATCCAACACGTGCAAGTACTGAGACCCCGGGCGAGATCTTAACATGATGTGACATTTTAGTGGAGATGCATTCTTCATCAACGTTGGGGCCTTTGGACTGTTGGCCCCAATAATATAGTTAGTCATCTGCATAGAGTGTAAGGTAGGTCGCTCTCAAGCTTGCAGAGTCAAGAATGTCTTACTTGGTGCGTGTTCGTAGAAGGCTCTGAATGGTTTATTTTTGGCAATGAATAAATGAATCCTTAGTGCAGATGTGTCGTCACTCCACTGTCTTTTGTTCAGCATCATTAGATTGACTAGTCGTGACTCGTGAGCTGATTGTCGTCTCTTTTTTGTCTTCCTATCGGTTGCCCAAATGATATTTTGTAAAGAATACCAGGACCCCCTTATCCTCAAAGGACCTTTAGTGCTTTAGCGATATTAGGGGAATCTGCATGGGGGCTGCTAAAACTGAGTCGCTTGGAGGAGTGGCTTTTTAGATTCAGCTACACTTTGGGTGGGTGGGTAATTCAATTCTGGTGCAAAGCCAGAGTGGAATGACTCAATAAGAGAGGGAGCAAGAGAGGGAATGCCTTGGCTTTTGATTGATCTCGTCACGATTCACTCACAGCAAAAAAGGTCAGGATGAGCTGCCTCCCTCTCTCCTGCACCAATCAGTGGGCTGCCAATCCGGGATAATGATCTCCCTCTGGATATGGTTGGCTCATAAGGTTTGCGGCCATGATGTCATCCAATCCCTTGGATGCCCGTGATTCAGAGCTGTGAGGTTTTAGCAAAGTACCCTAGGTGGTATGAGAAGTTACAGTACATATGTCAGTAGTATGAGTCATGGCGGGACCGGTGGATGGAGTACTTTTTTTATATTAATTCACAGCATGAAGGGATTTTAGTAGTCCCTGATTCATTATTTTTAATGTTCTCTAAATTATACTTGTAGAACTCTATTTAAATTATTGAATTGTAAAATACTATTATGTCCATTGATTTGCTTTCCTACAGTTTTAATTTCCACAATTGCCTTTGGTCTTCCAAACGTATAGGAATGAAGGTGTCAGATTTAATTAAAAATGATAAGAAACTCATATTTTATTTCACATCATGCGAGCTATAGCTGAGTAGCCTTTAGGTTAAATAATAATGTACATAATTGAAAGTATAAACAGTACACTGGGGGGATTTTTTCATTTCCTTTGACATGTTAACTCAAAGTATTTCATTACCTTATTTAAATTATCCCTGAAAAGCATGAGGGCCAGTAAAAATAAGAGCTACTACCACAGGCTGTAAAATAGTGGCCTCTGAAATGATAAGAACAAATCCTTTCTGTGCACTGAAGCCTGAAGCTGGATGAAACATCAGTGTCAGGCTCTCAATCTCTGAGTGAGGAATACAGCGCTCGCTGCTCAGACTAGTATTTGGCATGCTACACCACTGAGCCACACTATAGTGCACTGTTGGGGGTTATAATCAGGCACCTGTAGAGCCATTCATTTCAGACATTTGATATTTTTGCCTCTTTGTGTTTGTGCATACTGTATGTTTGCCTATGTGAGTGTTGTATTTCTTTATTCTTTTACATTTTGCATTTGCAGTGCATGTTTGGGTAGTGTGAGGCTGACATGCTGCAGTCTCCTTCAGCTCCGTGGAGAGGAGCGGTCATATCAGGTCATGGACATTTTGTACAGTACCAGCTCGAGATTCAAGCCTCCTTTCAACTCACCTGACCTCCACATGACAATGGGAGTGTTCACGATACACCTTGTCCTGCCTCTAATTAGGAACATTTATTTTTGGTCATATTATCGTGTTTTCATTAATGATGATGTTGTGAAAAACAGTATTGAATTCATCTCTTTCTAGCAGAATGATATTCCACCTCTGTCCCCTTAAACATTTAGATTTGTCATCAAATGCAAAAGCTGTGAACAGCTGTGTTCTGGAGATGACAGCATGTTTTTCACAGCCAAGAGGCACTTTTGGGAACAATGCCACGGTAAAGTGTAACAATTGTGACGGGTACGATCTCAATGTGTCTCAATAATATATACATAGGAACTTAGAATGACAACATTGACTTGATACAAATGTAAAGAATACGTGCAAACCTTCACATACAAAGGATTGCCATCTTTAGGAAATGTCACTGCGATTCAGCAAACACCTGCATACATTGTTCGGGAAATCAGCTTTGTGAGGAATGGGTGTAATGTGTAAAGCTTGCTCTCTCTGTTTTATGTCATTGTGGATTGAAAATGATTAAGCACACTTGACAGTGATTTCTGGCATTTAATGAAGCAGCAATTAATTGATTGACTAAGAAAAAAATCGGCATACAAATGAAAAATTGGGGGTAAGACCTATTGAC